TCTTTAAAAAAGCATCATATGACCCCTTTAAGAGAAGTCGGACTGAAAGTGCATTCTGACCAAGCCTCTCATCAGCAGAAAGAACCAAAAGGCTAAGCTCACCTTTGCTGAGGAGCATGTTGTGTGGAGAGAGGAGAACTGGTCCAAAGCTCACTTTAGTGATGAGAGCAAGTTTAATTTATTTGGGATTTATAGGAAACATTTTATTCGGCGTCAAACTGGGGAAAGACTGAAGCCCAAGTGTGTAAAGAAAGGTGGAGGGGGAACTGTCATGCATTGGGGGATGTTTTCTTCAGCATGAGTTTGGGCCTCTTATACAGCTACATGGTAGGGTGAATGCAAATGTTTATAAGAACCTCCTTCAACAACATGCAGTTCCTACCCTGCAAGCATCTCCCAGTCAGCCTGCAATTTAGCCGGGCCAGAGTGCTGATCTAAATCTCTGGAAAATCCATGGTGACAAAGTTATGAATAAGAAACCCACTACAGTTACCGAACTATGGAAAAGATGGGAAGAAGAGTGGACCAAGATCACAGCAGCACAGTCTGAGAAACTAGTGATGTCCTGTGGCCGCAGATGTCCTGAAGTCATTCAAAACAAGGGCCTCTACACTTCCTAATTTATTCGGACAGTTGCAACCCTCCAAAATTTTTGTTCTAATCTTCTTTTGTGCTTCAGTGGTTACTGTTCTCTAATTTTGATCACTGTCTTCCACAAAATAAAGGTTTTTGTTTAAATGCCTTGGATATTTTGTCAAACGTTAATAGAACAGTGGTATACCTACAGTTAATATCATGAAGATTAACAATATTTCAGAAAAAAAAAAAAAAATCAAGTATTTATAGATTGTTCTATTAGATCTAATTTTGATATCCACTGTATGTTTTATGCATAAAAGTAACCCTGAAGAAGTATTGTTGTAATCAGAGGCGTCATGCCCATTCAAAGTGAGGGGGCATGTGCCCTCTCAGATTTCTGAGCCAAGTGGATTTTGAATGCAGCTTCCAAAAGACAAAAAATAGCAGAATAATAATTTTTATATTTGATACAATCACACCGGTGTGACTAGATCATTCAGTGCGGCACAGTATAAGCTGCTAAATTCAAATCTGCATTCGCTGGCTGGGGCTGACACGTTTGAACAGCGCTGCATTATAACCAATCACACACAATTCTGTTGAGCTTATGAATGCAACGGCCAATCAGAGACGTCCTGATTAGTCATTGCTGACATCGCTGAAACGCGGTGTTTTGTTCACTTGCTCGCTGACGGAATTATCTGGCGAATTCTCTCATCAGAAACAAGAAAGTGCAGATGTACGTACGAATGTAAGTAAGATATATTTATTTCACAGTGTAAACAGCTTCAGTGATTTTCAGTTCCTGAACTCTGGCTAGACTGAATGAACATGTTCTTTGCTCTCTGTAAAATTAAAGTGTTATAATTAGTAACTTACAATATTGTTATTAATTCACATTAAATACAAAGTCAGTCGTATTAAAAATATTGTATGGCAAGACACCCATATCTGGTACTTAAGTAAAAAGATGGGTTTTTATGCATAGTTAATAGATTACGCTATTAGTCTACTTTGCCCATCACCCATTATAGATCAAGATGCAAAACGCATTTACTTACACATGTTTGAGAATCGAGATATTTCCTGATATAGTTAACACGTTTGGAAATATTTCGAATAAAAAGGGAAAAAAATAAATAAAACATAAGCCTATATCAGTTATACATTGCTATTGTGGCTGCTGTGTGTCACATGACAAGCATGACGAGACCCCCGTCCAACGTCCATACAGTACAATGCTGGGGCTCTAAACAGACATCTACTGTCTTACCGACACAAAAGAAGAGGGATTCAAACAGAATATTAAACAAATCAATGTTTTCATCTCTTTTTAAACTTGAAACGGTATATTTGTGATAGTAGGTTTTATACCTGATGTATCAGGCCTGCTGCCCATTAGCAAATACTACATTTGACCTGAATTAACTTTTGAATGAGAAAGTCAATGCGATCTTACCTCGATGAGAGGGTGCCAATGTGCGATGGGTTTGCGTGGATACGTCAACATTTCATTCCAATGTTCTCTGCCCAAACCCTCAGCATCATTACCTACTCGGCACACGCCAATGACCTCATTGTGACCTACACTGTGTAAAGAGACAGAAAAATTCAGTTTATTTCATAAGACTACTGCATTACGTATCTCCACAGCCCCTGCTCACATATTTTATCTCTTCATCAAGATCATTTCATAAGAAATGTGTGTGTACTTTTGTGTGTATAATTTTGGATTAATAGTAATATTATTAAACTTTTAAATTAATAATAAAATTAAAAAATCAGTTTTAAGCAACATTTCCCATCTCCCGGTTCTTGCTCCTTTTTTTTTTTTGACTCATCTCTCAGTCAACAAACAAAAAGCATGTTCACAATAATGAACATACAATGACGTATAGACTTAAAGTCCACAAGCATAAGGTAAATTTTAGGATGTGTTTGCTTTGCCTTGTCCATATCCATTTTTAATATCCCTATATTAAACAACCAAAGCAATGCTACACTTACAGATAAACAAAAGAATACAAACAGAATTACATGAGAATGCACAAAACTTATGATTAAAGGCAGCAAAAGCTATAATAATAACAATAACAACATCCACACCAGCAGATTATAACATTGTTTAATAAGTTTAAGTCTCCATATACATAATTGTCAGTTAAATATTTTTTAAATACGTGTATAATAATAATAATAATAATAATAAAATCATGTCATGTCCCATAGACTTCCATTGTAAGTGCCTTATGTAAATGTGACCTATGTTTGAGAGATTTTTTGAAGAATGAGTCAAAATTAATTGCTGTGGTAATCAACAGCATTTTGCAGATGCACAGAGCTTAACTTGTTTTGAAACCAACACCTTGCTTAAAAATCAGAAAGAAAGCACAAAAGAAAAAGAAGAAATAGCAACAAAGCAATCATCTAACTTCAATTGATACTCTTATAGCATGTGTCTATAATGGGTAGAAAGGACACATACAACATTTGTGAGACTCTCACCGGTCATAGTCCATAACAGCTACAAGAAGGCTGATTTGGTCAATGTTCTCTGGAGGGACATCAAACACTATGGCCTCATTGTACACTGGGTTTAATGTGTTCCTCTTGGTGGAGGTTTTTCTTTTTTTCAGTCTCCGTCCATCACACATCAGAGAAACTTTCACATAAGGATCTAGGAAATGAGTCCAAGTGGATAGTAAAAATAAGTAATGTTATCATAGTAAGAATATTCAAATAATATATCTTAATTTACATTTAGTGCCACAACCTTTTATCTGCAGTTCCTTTTGGACACAAATCCAAAGAATGATACACATAAATTGAAAAGTTATTTTTAATGTCTGGAAATACAGTCAAAGTTGTAACTCTGACCATGTTATTACTATAAAAGGGAATCAGTTATTAATAATATATCTTAATTTACATTAACCTTTTATCTGCAGTTCCTCTTGAACACAAATCCAAAGAATGATACACATAAACTGAAAAGTTATATTTTAATGTCTGGAAATACAGTCAAAGCTACAACTCTGACCATGTTATATTACTATAAAAGGGAATCAGTTATTAAATGTATTTATGCATGAATGCAAATGTGAGATTTGTTTTTGATGTATTGCACTGTGGGGTGGTTAAATATTTTTTTTCCTCACAAGCTTAAAACTGTATCTATAAGCCTCTTACACATCATACCGTAAGTTGCAAATCCCCTAAAGCTATTCTGTTAAGGAGAAAGAAAAAGATAATATGTCATTTCAAAGTGTGTAAATAGAGGTATATTAATGAAATCTGAATCTGCTCATACCTGAAGCTCCAGTGATGTCCATGGCCTTCAGATTTCGTGCTTTAATCATGGTGATGGTCAGTCGTCCAGCAGTAGGTAGGTAGCATAGAGAAAACATCAAATCCCCCAGATCCACATTGTCCTGGCAACAGAAACAACATTTATTTACTCCAATTTGCTATTCTACTTGTACAGTAAACACCTTCATTCATATTAATGACTGTTTGATTCAGTGATTTATTCATGCATTTGTTCATGTATTCATTATTTCATTGACAATCGTGCAGAACATGGTAAATATAGATTACATGGAGTTCACAGAGGAACAAGCTGCCACCTTCTCATGAATTTGTTCATGGCACTTTGCATCATATCAGAACAACACTAACGTCAGCAGCATTAAAAAGTAACAGCCGTGTTATCACTTTCTCTCGAAATAACTCAGCCGAGAATGTGAGATGGGCTTTTCTAACACCTATTATTTTGAACTTCACAATGATGGCTTACCTCCAGTCTGCTGAAAAAGGAGGATCTAACTGATGAGATTCATCTACACCTGACCATCAGCTACTGCAATATGAACTTCACGGATATGGTTAAGAATTACAGAACCCATAAATGGCAGAAAAAAATAAATGTTATGGAGATTGTTGGAGACAGTTTGTTACTAAGGAAATATATATTTTTTTTTAATTTTGAAATGTGTTAGTATTCTTGCTGTGGTGATTTATTGTGAATGTTAAATATTGTTTTATTTCTGTGTGCCATTTAGGAGCAATAACAGACCGCAGTGTAATAGACCACTGTGAGAAAGAATAAATAAATAAATAAATAAATAAAAAATCCCAGAATCAAACAATGTCTCAGCAGTTTGCATGAGCCGTTATAGAGCAAACAAGCAGAAAACAGAAAATGTGTGCAGACTTTGTAATCAGAATTGCATTCAATCAGAAGTACAGGTTATTTAATACAAAACACATAACACACTTTGCTTATAACATATTGCTTTCTATAATAGGTTACTTGCTACAAAGTGCCTCTATGGAAAAAAGGGAGTCTGTAGCAGTCTCTTAACTCTTGATTTTAAAACAGATGGTATCCAAGGATGAGACTAGCATCTGTCAGACTCCATATTCTTTTTTTATAATGGCATTTACCTATTATGTCTAAATAGTCAGCATACAGGATAGTCAGCATATAAGGTGCAAAAAGAAATAAAAACAAATAAAAAGGAGGTGTGCTTGGTGGCAGTGAGATATTATGAGTTCATATCTGACACTCCACTATATGCCTGAGGCTCATGCTGAAGATAACCAGGGGCCGTGCTGGTTGTGACAGTAAAAGGTCATTCTAGTGCTGTGTTATCTGTGATCTAGTTTCATAGAGGATCTGAAAAGCTAGTGGTCCTGTCATTTAGAAAGGGTAAATAAATACTCAAGGGCAACTGCTGCTCTTTTATACTGATATTGCATAGATATATTGCCTGATTTACTAAAGATGTTAACAGGTATGGTTCAATGCAATAAGATCTATGGTGAGAACAAACTGGAAGTATTATTAGAAGATCCATCTGGATAAATTAGCCACTTTCATGCAAAGTATCTCCATCATTTACTAGTAAATGACAGTCATGTTATTAGAGCTGGGCCAGATTTACAAAACAAGGCAAATTAGCCTGAAACTGAAATTCCATAAAAGTAACAATGGGAGTGGAAAGTTCTGCTGGTGATCTACTGACAGTGTGTAAATAAACGACCACAGACGCAGCCAGATCATTTCCATAATGACCAACGCAATCTACCAAGAGCAGAGCAAATTAGCATAAGGTCGTCTCATTTATAAAACATGCATATGCACAGATTTGATCTTAGAGTGTGTGTATGCTAAAATCCACACCAATGTTCAGATTTATACGGTCTTTGACTTGGAAATGGTATTTGACATGGAAAAGTGCTTAGCGCCATGTCAGGGGTTAAGCAGACGTACACACTTTTTGGTGTCCGAGTACTGCAGGTATTTGGAAATTTAAGCTATTCTTGCCACTCACCATTCTCAAGTAAAGGATTTGGACATTGACTGGTGCTCTATATTAATAATTAATTATACATTCATTATTTGGCATTTTCAAGGCAAATATCTGAAACCATTCAACTGTGCACAATTTCAAGATCATTTGCAATTTTTACATTTCAAATCTAAAAGATATTTTTTTTTTTGTATTTAAATTCATTCTCTCAATCACATGCACACTTATCTGAGAAATAATTGTAAGATCAAATGTAGCACAGTTTCTATGCAATATTTTATAAATCAGGCCCCAGGTGCAGGTAATCTACTAACAACACAGGTGCAGAATGGGTTAAGGTGCAAATACTAGTAAACTGACTTTGCATAATACATTTAAATACTCTCTTCCCATAGATTTTGCATCTGAAAAGGGAAACTCCTACAACTGCATATACACAAGTTTGGCCACAAAATAACTATGTTCACATTTTTCTATTTTTCCACATTTTTCACAGCGTGTCTTTAGTAAATCCAGGCAAAAAAAAAAAAAAAGAGAGTTTACACTGGTGCAAGCTGTTAGTAAATCTGGCCCTGGCAAAGTTCTTTCTTTCTTTCTTTCTTTCTTTCTTTCTTTCTTCACGAGGACAGATGATTCCTCAACATTTTTCACCTGATGTTGTTCTTCTACAAAATATTTGTGCAAAAGCTGTGTGACATTGATACTGTCACTGTATAAAAACTAATGGGATTACACTGAATCATAATATGAACACATTATACCTATGTTTATAATGTACCTAAACTGTGTCATTTCTTATCAACTGAATTTCCATAACATGTCTCTTCTCACATAAAATAATTTCTGGTCAAAACATTTCATCTACAAACATTTATGTATTTGGTAAGTAGTCAAATAACACGCTGGATAAAGTACAGCCAGACCATCATTATCGCAAAATAAACACCTTCATGAGGATACCAGACCGCTGTCTGTTTTGTGATAATGACCGACTGACCACTTATATTCACAGTTTACAAGTAACTAAGAACTTTTATTTCTTTAGTCCTTATTTCCCCCCCCCCCCCCCCCCCCCCCAACCCCACAC